TTTGTTGCAAGGTCAAAAGGCGGATTATTTATGCATTCAAACAAACACTTCTCTGTTACTGCAATTTGTGCAAAAAACTTCACAGGATAGCTAAGTATAATTTTTAAAATACAAATCTACAATGTTAATGCAAACAAATGTGATTCCTTTAACTTGGCTTCACTTGAATCTGAATTGAATCTGACAAACGTTTCCAGTTCGGGAAGGGATATCTTTTATACCTTTTTCACTTATTGTGAAGTTCCTTCATAGTATAATCGACATTAACGTGCAGTTGGTCTCTTTCGTAATAGCATAGGAAATTCCTTCTATATGAGCCTACTCCAAATTTTTTTCGTAATAGCATAGGAAATTCCTTCGATATGAGACTACTCCCAATTTCCCAAAAATTAATGGCCATTTCTCTTAATAAACCTAACTAAAATAACGGTTTAACTAATTAAAAGGCTTTCGCAGAATTCAATAAACTGAATGAATCAAAACAGTGTTACTGAATATGCGCTAAAGTACCTAGTCTAATATCATCATGAACGTTGCATGGTCTTTGGCGGCTACTGTACTATCACCGCAAACGCATAGCATTTTTACGTGAACCTTAAGACGGCCTAAAATAGAACTGTACACTCCCAGTGTCACTGCTAAGTGTAATTAAGGTGGACTCCTCGGGACTGGGATTCAGACCGCCATGACTCTTTCTTAATGCTTTCCCTATGGCACAGTCACAAAAGTGAGACCTAGGCCGCCCTCATGGACGTATGATACAGTTTGTAGGAACCATATCGCCTGGGTTACCCAGTTTTTTAGACTCTACGTCCGAATCCGTCCCCAATCCTCTTGATAGTGTATTGCCACTAGAGCCAGGGAAATAAAGGAGAGAGAGAGAGTAGCAGATGTTGTACAAGTCACCGACCTGAACCCATTCTATGGGACTCGCAGCAGAGGTCAGCGTTCGCAATAATCAAACGGTCGTACATACATAAACATAACACACAGTTGCTTCCAACCCAGAAGAAAGCAACATTCACTCACCTTAACGATACTGTCCAGACAATCCTGCACCATTTTCTCCAGCTGTCCCATCTTCGGGGCATCCTCTAGATCGGCCAGTGCACCGTTGTCCTTAGCCTCTTTCTCCTCCCGCTCCTCCTCTACCACCCCTTTATCGTTCGGGGAGCTGGCGTCGGCATTC